ACAAAATAGGCAGTTATTGTGGGTAAAATATTCATTAAAATCTGACCCCTAAGGATATGTTTAAAGTTTAGACTATGAGTTGGACTCCTTTTCCATGGTCATGATTACTATATCACCACTATAATGTTGGTTTTGTCTGTACTTTTGTCTACGAAATTTTTTCAACCTTATCTGTAAAAGGTGAGCTCCCCCTAGCACCTAAACATGGCCTCATTTCAGAAATGTGATGCTTATTACATATGGACAACTTTTGTAAGAATAGTGTTGCACAAGTATGTTAAAAACATTTAAACATTGTTATCCCTAGCAGATGTATTGGAAAGAAAAACACAAAGCCCTTAAACAATAATAGACTTTAAGAACTCTTATGAAAAATGAATATCCCTTGTGAAATTAAGTTAATCCAGACATTAATTTTGAAATTAAAAAACATACATTTTCTTATTTGCCTATAATGAAATATTTGTTGAGATAAGACAGATCAATTGAGAAAAGGATTTGAGAACTAGTATATTGGCCAAACCATGCTATTAAAGTTAAGCGTGCACTGTTGCTCCAAGTTTACTAAATCATTGATTAAAACCACTTTTCTTTCATTTATATTGAAATTTGAAAAAATGTATATAAAGCTTTTCTGAAAATCTTTTAAAGTTACTTTCCCTTAAACATTAAGGAATTTTACCACAATTTTCCCATCTTCCCAAATTCTTAATAGCTGGTCAGGCCATTCCATTTCCAGTTCTGAAAAATGGCCACAAACCAGTAGTGATATAAAATAATACAGATGCTACAACTTGAAGGAGACACTAGGTTGCAAAAATAAGTGCGATTTGCAGACCATGATGAGTGGGATAAGATTCAACATGGAAGGAGTATTAAAGACAGACTCCAGAGGAAAGGGAAAAGAAATGTCAAAGAAAATGAGACTGGAACAGAAAAACATCAGTCCTCATAACTTTTCTTTCGCTGGAATCCAGATGTAAGGACCAGACTGTTCTTCTATGATTTGCTTCACTTGGTTGTAAATGTCTTCCAGCGTATCGCCCTGTACAATAGCTGTAATGAAATCAGAAACTTCCATTAAATTGTCTATCTTCACCATTATAATTATTGGTGAAATAGTAGATACCAAATCTTAGAAATAGTTATTCATTCAGGAAGGGATACCATTTATGTATTGTTTGTTTAGTTAAATTGCTCATTTAATTAATTTTCCCATTTGTAAAATATAAAAACTTTCATTTTAAAAACTGATCGAAAAGTGGGATTTGGTAATTTTTACTTTCTTTTGTGTATTTGGGAAATACACACTGAAGTATTTAGAGCCAAAAGAGCATCTGTCTGCAACCTACTATTAAATGTTTCAGAAAAAAATTATAAATGTGGTAAATGTTAACATTTGGGGAATAAGGAGTAAGAGTATATAAGAATTGCTGGTACTTCTCTTACAATTTTTCTGTAAGTCTGAAATTATTACATATATAAAAAAGCAAATGGGTCACAATATCATGGCACTTAATGGTACTTAGTGTGACTACCAAGTATACACTTACCATTATTTCAAACAAATAACAATAATGACAAAAAACTGTTCAAAGATACCTAAGGGGTAATTTAAAGGACAAAATGAATTAGAAAGATTATTTGGAAATTGCTACTCATTCTTTTCTTTTTAAACAAGTAATATCTTAAAATGGATCAAGATTTATAAAGGATAAAAGTCAATTTCATAGAAGAAATAAAATCTGAGTCTATTTTTCTCCAGTCACGTGTGAGTTATTCTTATACATGCTATCCTAATCAATAACCCAAGAAATACTAAATTTCAAGAGTCCTCATCATCACTGCCTAGGTTAGATGTATTATTTTGAAAATGATAATATCAATTACTACTGGTAGATGTGGGCATAGTTCAAAATCCTTTTCAATGGGTCACTTCATATGGCTCCAAAGCAAAATTCTATCATAAAGGGAACTGCCACATATGATGCCAACCTGTGAAATGCTCAGTAAATTCTTGTTCCAGTTTCACGGCTCTCTCAAATGTTTTTCTGGCTTGTTCTTCTGTTAGTCGCTTATTCATTTCCCTATGCACATAAATTTAGAAATTGGTAATTACTACATTATAATACTTTTTGAAGAAAGATGACAAAGGAGAGAAGACATAAAAACATAAAATCATGAAAAGTTGAGCTCTGTTGAGACAATGAATGTCATTAAAACTAGATTCAGTCACTGAATATGTAGCTTTATACTTGGAATGACAGAAGGGTTTTAACACATCTTTGCATTGGCACAAGGCAGCCAAAAAAAAACCCTAAGATTCGACAGTTTAGATTTTGATAAAAATTTCATATCTAAATATGACTTACAGATCTCCTACCAATTCATAGATGATAAAGGGGACATAAACATTAAACAACACTATGATAAGGCAATGAGAAAAATATAGTCTGGGGAAAACTACAGAAGAAATGATTTAGTTTCTTCAATAAATAAATAGGAAAAAAAAGGAGATATGTTTGAATCAAGTTCCAAGTAAGGTCTATTCATGACAATTCGGAACTTGATTCAAACAAACTGAAAAACATACACAAAACTTATAAAACAATCAGGAAAATTTGAACTGATGATATTTAACGAGTTATTAAGTGTGACATAATGATGTTTTTAAATAGGAAATTCCTATCTTTCAAATACATACTGAAATATATGGATGAAATCATATAATGTCTGGTGGGGGGCAGTGAAACAAGATTCATCATAAATGATAATTACTGTTGCAGCTGAATGATGGGTACATGGGAGTTGGTTTCCTATTTATTTTTTATTTTTATTTATTTTTTTTGGTTTCCTATTTAAAAGAGTGAAAACTTTCAATATTTCACCATTAAATATGATGTTTGCTTTTGTATTTTGTAGATGACCTTCATGAGATTAAGAAAATTCCCTTCTATTCAGTTTTTAAAATGTTTTTATCATGAATGGATGATAATTTTATGGAATGTTTTTTCTGTTTATTAAAATGATCATATGCTTTTATACCTAAAATCGCTAATGTGGTATACAACAGTGATTAGAAAAAGCAAATAATTAAAAATTGTGGCCTGGAGGCTTATGAGGATCCAGGGAAAAATCAATGGGGCCTGCTTGATTTTCTCTCCTGTTGGTATCATTGCTGCATGGTATAGCATATAGAAGGCATTTTCCCTGATGAAATCATACATGCTGTGCTCTTAGATTCTCAGTGTATATATTCATTTTACTCTCTTCACACCTCCATGTTCATTGATCTGTCCAAAAATGTAATGCTGGAGACAAGACAGAAGTTCTTATCTACCTTCTTGTCCAGACATCAGTTTCAAAAATATCACTCTATCATTGACTTTTTCTATCAATTATTTTTCATCTCATCTGATGTTTCTACAAATAGTAACAAGTACTTGTTTTTCTTAAACCAAACACAATGTTATCATTAAACCATTTGTATTAACCATGGACTTTTTAAATAAGTCTCATTCAACTGAGCCTAAATTTGCTCTTATTCCATGGGGCATTGAACCTCTGACATCATCCTATGCATCTTCACTGGCACAAAATGGGAAACACAAGTCTGTTTGGCAAGAACACTTCTAGGGGATCACCCCAGCAGCAGTGTAGATAGATTACAATTTATCGAATTAGAATAAACAAACAAACAAAAAAACAAAACAAAAAAAAAATTGTGGCCTGGCCGGTGTTGCTCAGTGGTTGAGGATCAATCTATGAACCAGAAGGTCAGGGTTGATTCTTGGTCAGTGCACATGCCTGGGTTGCAGGCTCGATCCCTTGTGTGGGGCATGCAGGAGGCAACTGATTGATGTTTCTCTTTCATCATTGATGATTCTCTCTCTCCTTTTCCCTTCTTTCTGAAATAAATATTTTAAAAAATTGTGGTAAAATATACATGACATAAAAGCTACTATTTAAACCATTTTTACACGTACAGCTCCGGAGTATTAATACCTTCCTTCATGTTGTTGGAACCATCACCATCATCCATCCCTATAATTCTTTTTATCTTGTAAAACCAAAATACAAGACCTATTAAAAATAACGATTCTTTCCTCCTCCTAGCCCTTGGCAACCACCATTATACTTTCTGTCTCTATGATTTTGACAACTCTAAGTACTTCATATAAGTGGAATTTGTCTTTTTTTGTGACTGGCTTATTTTACTTAGCATGTCTGCAAGGTTCATCCATGTTGTACCATATTGCAGAATTTCTTTCCTTTGTATGTATATTCCACATTTGCTTATCCATTCATCTCTTGATGAACACTTGAGCTTCTTCCACATATTAGCTATTGTGAATAATGCTACTGTGAACATGGGTATACAAATATCTTTTCAAGACACTGATTTCAATTCTTGTGTGTATATATCCAGAAGTGGAATTGTTGCATCATATGGCATTTCTATTTTTACTTTTTTGAAGAACTACCATACTATTTTTCATAGCGGCTGCACCATTTTACATTCCTACAACAGTGTGCAGGAGCTCCAATTTTCCCACATCCTTGCCAGCACTTGTTTTTGTTTTTTTTGTGTGTTTTTGATAGTAGCTATCCTAGGACGTGTGAGGTGGTATCTCACTGCAGTTTTGATTTGTATTTCCCTAACAGCGATGTTAAGCATCTTTTCATGTGCTATTATTGTTCATTTGTGTATCTTCTTTGGAGAAATGTTTATTCAAGTACTTTACCCATTTTTGAATTGGGTTGTTTTCCTATTAAGTTTTAGGAGTTCTCTATATATTCTGGGTATTAAGCCTTTATCAGATATATGATTTGCAAATATTTTCTCCCATTCGGTGGGTTATCTTTTTACTTTGTATATTGTGCCTTTTGATACAAAAAAACTTTAAATATGAAGTATAATTTTAAAAAAAAATCCTCCTCACCCAAGGATGTTTTCATTGATTATTGATGAAGAGAGAGAGAGAGAGAGAGAGAGAGAGAGAGAGAGAGAGAGAGAAAAGAGGGGGGAGACACACACACACACACACACACACACACACACACACACCAGTTGCCTCCTGTATGTGCCCTGACCAGGGATTAAACCCGCAACCTAGGTATGTGCCCTGGGAATCGAACCTGTAACCTCCTCGTGTATGGGATGATACTCCAACCAAGTGAGCCACCCGGCCAGGGCAAGTCTATTTTTTTGATTGTTTCGTTATCTACGCCTTTAAAGTCATAACTAAGAAATCATTGCCAAATCCACTACTGTGAAGCTTTTGTCCTATTTCTTTTTCCCAGGTTTTATTGTCTTACATTTAGGTCCTTGGTCCATTTTGAGTTTTTGTGGAAGGCTTAGGTAAGGGTCCAACTTCATTCTTTTGCATGTGGGTATCGTTTTTTCAGCACCATCTGTTGAAAAAGGCTGTTTTTTTCTCTCCCTCCTTTGAATGATCTTGCATCCTTGTTAAAAAGCAATTGATTATATATGAGGGTTCATTTCTGAGCTTTCTATTCCATTCCATTAGTCTATATGTCTGTCTTTAGGTCAATACCACACTGTGATGATTACTATAGCTTTGTAGTAAATTTTGATATCAGGAAGTGTGAGTCTTCAAGTTTTTCTGTTCTTCTGAAAGACTGTTTTGGTTATTTGGGTGTCTGTTGAGAATCTGTATGAATTTTATTATGGTTCGTCTACTTCTGCAAAAAAGTCATTGGGATTTTGATAGGGATTGCACTGCACTGCACCTGTAGATTGCTTTGAAAAGTTTTGACATTTTAACAATAAGTCTTCTTCCTAATCCATGCACATGGAATGTGTTTCAATTTATTTATGTCGTCTTTAACTTCTTTAGTGTTTCATAGTTTCATTGTACAGATCTTTCACCTCGGTTAATTTTAGGCATTTTAATCTTCTTGATGCTATTATAAATGAAATTATTTTTGTAATTTCATTCTGATTGTTCACTGTGTAGAAATGCAAATGATTTTGTTGACTTTGAATGCTGCTACTTTGTTGAATTTATTAGTTCTTTTAAAAAAAATATGTTTTATTGATTTCTTTCAGAGAGGGAGAGGGATAGAGAGCTAGAAACATCGATGAGAGAGAAGCATTGATCAGCTGCCTCCTGCACACTCCCCACTGGGCATGTGCCCGCAACCAAGGTACATGCCCCTGACCGGAATCGAACCTGGGACCCTTGAGTCCACAGGCTGATGCTCTATCCATTGAGCCAAACCAGTCAGGGCTATTTATTAGTTCTAATAGCTTTTATGTGGCATCTTTAGAGCTTTCTATAGATAAAATAATATAATCTGAAAACAGAGATAATTTTACTTCTTCCTTTCCAATCTGGATGTCTTTCATTTTTTTTCTCACCTAGGATAGTTTTTTTCTTTGATCTGGCCAGAACTGCCAGTACTATGTTAAATAGAAATGGTGAAAAGCAGGCATCCTTGCCTTGTTCCTAACCTTAGAGAAAAAGCTTTCACTCTTTTACTGTGGATTTTTTATTCATGGCTTTTATATTAAAGTAGTTTCCTTCTCTTCCTATTTTGAGTGTTTTTATCATGAAAGAGTATTGTCAAATGCTGTACCTGCATTAGTTGAGATGATTGTATGGATTTTCCCTTTCATTTTGCGGATGAGGTTTATTATGTTTGATTTTCATGTCAAATCATCCTTATATTCCAGAAATAAATTCTACTTGGTCATGGAGTATAATCTGGTTGTTGAGGATCTTTGCATCAATGTAGTTTTTTTCCCCTTATAGTGTCTTTGTATCAGGGTAATACTGACTTCATAGAATGAGTTAGGATATATTCTCTCTTCAATTTTTTGGAAAAGTTTGAGGATTTGCATTAGATCTTTTAAAAATATTTGGTAAAATTCACCAGTAAAGACATCTGGTTCAGGATGCTCCTTTGTTGGGAGTTTTTAATTACTGATTCAGTTTCCTTACTAGTTATAGGTCGCTTTAGATTTTCTATTTCTTTGTGATTTAGTCTTGGTAGGTTTTATGTTTCTAGGAATTTATCCATTTCTTTTGGTGCTCAATTGTTCATAATACTCTATTTATAG